GTAGCTTATACTGCAGAGCTGCTGTAGGCCGTGTGTGTTTGTTTATCCTGTAAGTCTATGGAACGTCCTATAAATAAAGCATGCGGTGATTGATATAGTGGCTTCAGCACTTCGCTTCACGAGTTTTTGTATGCTCAATAAAAGGAGCACAACATACATCTGAGATCCACAGTTTCAGAGAGGTATTATTCATGACTACTATTTATAGGATCCTATACTGAGCAGAGGATTTCATTGAACATTCCTAAATCATGGAATCTGGAGAATGGAGTCAAACTCCCATCCATGAGGGATTTTCTGTGCTAATTTAATGTAATTGAATGAATTGGATAAAATCAGCCCGTTTTTTTCCCTTTTCGAGGCCCACTTGTACTTGGGCTGGCCTCAAAGGCTGTCAGGGATTTCTATAAGCTCATTATGAGCAGCTCAGACTAGAATATGTTGTATAGTGTGCTTCTTATATGGTGGACTGTTGAATTGTCACAAAGTTTCAAAGATACCAATTAGCACTGGAGTATCATGCACTAAGACATTCATATACCAATACTATTGTATGGATTTTTTTCTTATGGATATTCTTGTTACATGACCAGATACACAAATGAATTAAAGAAATCTTAAATAACTCATATACCAAGATATTGTGGATCCCTATTAAAACTAGAGACTTTCTTGTTGTGTATTAGTGTATCTACATGTAAATGTACATGTATGTTACTTTTTTATCTGTGACTTCCTGTCGGTAGTTGTTCATTTCAGGATTTCATGGGGTGATTTCCATTGTCTGATTCTTTACTCTACTGCCTCTATTTCTCTTCCAGCAGTCACAGGATGTGCTATTTTTGTTGTCAACTTGTATAAAGGTAAAGAGGCAGAACAGCTGCTTAATATTGGGCTCATCTGGGACTATGTCTCACAGCTTTGCTGGGAAACTTTAGTTGTGTCTTCCTGCTCAAAGTCTTTTGTTTGAAACCCAGGCAAAAACGTATGCTTCTTTGTTCTTTTGTCATTCTGTCTGCCCAGTACTGAGCAAACAGTATATCACAAAAGAATAAAGGAGAACTTATATTAATATTGACTCGACTGATGACACAAAACAACCCATCAGCAACGGTTGTCTGCACTCCAGACTGTGGAGACACCAGGCTGTCAACAGTGGCTCATGGGCACATTATAATGTCTCTCTTCCTTTTTTGGTCATTCTTTTTGTCTGAGAGATTTTCTGTGCCTAAAAAGAGTCATTTAACAAAAGAATGTTTAATCAGTCAAACTGCTAAGTGTGTCTAAATCACTTAACTATAATTGAAGCTTGTTATGTTCTGTTCTGCATGGTTGCTGCCGTGGCATCTTGGCAAGACTCATTTGTCTGCAGATCGTTTTTAGCTGGGCAAGATATTGGAGTACACTGTTATTCTTTTTTTTATGTTTCATTTTATCTCTGTAATCTGTAAGGTTGTATCAAGGGAAATGCTAGTCATTGTGACGCCCAATTCTGGATGTTTATGCTTATAGATGATTACAGATTTACACTGTAATGATTCTTAGCTTGAAAAAAAGCTGGATCTTGGATTTTTTTTATTTTTTATATACAATAGCATTTAAAAGAATTTGACTCTGAAAGAATTTGTTTTTGAAAGAAGTCTTATACTTCTTATACTTAACAAGACTACGTTTATTTGATGAAAAATACAGTTAAAGCTAATATTGTGAAATATTTATATATGCACACAGAGGTGAAACAAAACAAAAATAGAATATTGTGCAGAAGTTCATTTATTTCAGTAATTCAACTTAAAAGGTGAAACTTATATATTATATAGACTCATTAAATACAAAGTGAGATATTTGAAGCCTTTATTTGTTATAATTTTGATGATTATAAAGCTTACAGCTTATGAAAACCCCAAATTTAAAATCTCAGGTAATTTGAATATTACATGAAATCAATGCAGCCGTCTACCAGGACATTTTAGAGCACTTCATGCTTCCTTCAGGAGACAAGCTTTATGGAGACGCTGACTTCATTTTCCAGCAGGACTTGGCACCTGCCCACATTGCCAAAAGAACCAAAACCTGGTTCAATGACCACGGCATTGCTTGACTGGCCAGCAAACTCGTCTGACCTGAACTCCATAGAGAATCTATGGGGCATTGCCAAGAGAAAGATAAAAGACATGAGATCAAACAATGCAGAAGAGCTGAAGGCCGCTATTGAAGCTTCTTGGTCTTCCATAACACCTCAGCAGTGCCACATGCTGATAGCATCCATGCCATGCCGCATTGAGGCAGTAATTCATGCAAAAGGGGCTCCAAACAAGTACTGAGTACACGAAGCTGTAAGCCATAATCATCAAAATTATAACAAATAAAGGCTTCAAATATCTCACTTTGCATGTAATGAGTCTGTATAATATATTAGTTTCACCTTTTAAGTTGAATTACTAAGATAAATTAACTTTAACATGATTGAAAAAAAATTGAGTTTCACCTGTGTGTATATAGGCTATATATATATATACACATGCATACAAATTAGGTTCACAGTGTAACGGTTCACAAAATTCACGGTTCTGTTCAATACGATACAGTAGTGTCACGGTTCAGTACTTTTTCGATACAGCAAAAAGATATGCCAGAGAAATTTCCTATTTATTAAAAGAAAAATATTTTTCTAAAAATTATATTAGTTTTCCTACATCTTGAAACTTTCAGTTTTATTAATGGGGGTATATCATAGGGGTATATCTTTGAAGCATGAGCAAATCATGTAATATTTGTAAATATGTTTTTAAGTGGTGGAAAAAGATGTGTGATAAAAAGCATTTTAAAAATAGAAACTTTAAAACAACAGCATTTATTTTAAATATATATTTTTGTAACTTTAGAAATGTCTACTGTCATACTTTATAAATCTTACTGACCTCAAACGTTTATGGTAGGATAATGTACATACATTAATATTGCGATGTGCAAAACAGCATGCATGCTGGTCAGTGTTGGGAGTAACGCATTACAAAAGTAATACATTACAGTAACATATTACTTTTTGCTGTAACGCAGTAGTGTAAGGCATTACTAATCAATTTTCAGTAATATTTTACTCGTTACATGTTCAGTGAGGCTTGTATTACAGTTGTATTACAGTGGATTGTCTGCTTTTATTTCTTAAAGGCAACAGACTATGTGAAAGTTTTAAAGCAGTCTTTTAGTGCCAGTTCAGAGCGGTCGCGTCTGTAACATTGTTTTTTCCTCATAAATGCGAACATGAAAAATAAAATAAAATGAATATTTTAAGTTCTATGGAGACTGGAGAGCCAACCCTTCCTCATCCGATTTGCGCAGTGTAATTAACAGAATTACAAAAAATAGATTTTGCCTCCTATTTTTTTGTCACGCATGAATGTGTGTCTTTTCCCTAATATTAAAAATAAAACAGACTGATATTTGTCTAATGTCTGGAGTCCTTTAAGGAAGTAGCCTATACGTTTCAATACATGTATTTTCTGAGAATTTTTATTTCAAGTTTTGACTGCAAATGTCATGTCTTGTCCATAATGCTGGACCCAATTTTAAATAATTTATCCTCAACTAGTTTTGTGGTGTAGGTCTACGTATTTTATAATGTTAACTTCAAATAATACTAATAGCCTAATTTAAAGATAAGGCAGCATTGGATATGGACGTAAGGAGAATAACGCTGGAGTTGGAAGAGGTGTGTCGCGATTCTGTAGGTTCGTGGATCTGAGTCATGTGGCGAATCGCGATTTCGGTTTCATATTGCATATCGTTACAGCCCCAAAGTTAAGTTCTACTTAGTTATTTTGGTGAAAGTAACTCAAAAGTAATACATGAGTAATGTAACGCATTACAATTCTGAGACAGTAATATTGTAAGGTAATGAATTACTTTTAAATAACAGTAACAAGTAATACCTAATGTATTACAGTTTGGAAGTAACTTGCACAACACTGATGCTGGTGTGAGACACTCAAAAGATAGCACAAAGTTAGCATGCTAAACCACCAGCACCACCAATATAAATATCAATCAAAATATGAAGGATTTAATTCTGTTTGTTTGAACAAATGAGAGTATTTGTTTCATCACCTCACTAGTCTTCAGAAATGTCAGAAACATGGCATTATAGATACCTTGGTCCTCCCTTTTGTACTCCGTGAACAAGGTGAATGTTTGATCCACAACAAAGATTGTTGGCCTTGCGCTGATGTCGCTAATGCACAGGAAATGCCTTTGTTGGGAGAAACTAATCAGATTTCTGTAATGTGAAAGCATCCTTCATACGCAATTATCCCCTTGTAGTGCCCACAGGTCTACATAGAGGCCAGAAAGGCCATTTACAATATATTTGAAAGCTAACCGAAGAACATTTGCAAAAATCAATGGGAAATGCTGCACCTTCACTGTGAAGTGAGTTTGCAAACCATTTTCCTCACAGAACAAACAAGCAGGAGGCCAGAATAACTATAGATGTAGATGAGTTTTTTGTTGTCTTGTAGTGATCATGTTTTTGAGGATGAATAGTTTCAGCCTCCTCATGATTCAGAAAGCCTTAAGATGCTTTAAGGGAGAGAACAGCTCATTTCTGGCAAACAGTAGGTCACTTATTCTCTAGATAAATCGAGTCTTTCTTCCTCCTGAGGCGTGACATGCAGGAATGCTACACATTAATCTGCACATGGGTGGGCTCAGTAAATTCCACTCATAATATCTTCTCCCCCACTAGATCGGGCATTTGACATGGGAACATGGGTGGCGTGGTCCAATCAGAAGTGGTCTTCCCCATGCCCCATTTCCTGTTAAGGAGTCACTACATTCAAATGATATACTGCAGGGGCTTAGGGAACAGGGATCACAAACAATGTCCAACAAATAGACTTTGAGCCTCATTATTTTGTGGATTTGACTTTACTTTGACTGTACAAAGTTTAGGCCTATTGACAAATCTGTGTGTTTTGATGTTTTGTTTTTTTTTCTATTAGCATGGGGCGAAGTGGATGTGAGCACAGAAGACAGGGTGGAAGTATATTTAAAAGAACAGGCCAAGATCCCCTGTATATACACTCTGAAAGAACCAGCAATGATGATAGTCTGGTTTACGGTGAGAAAGAGAAATATTCACATTTTACAATAACTTTTGTTTTACAAGTATCCCCCACAAAATCAGAAAATAATACTGATCTTTGCTGAAGTATCTTATTCTTGTTACTGTAATCCAGTACAATTACTCATGCAATGTATACTTATATTGTTATTTACATTTTTTTTATATAATAGTATGAAATATTTACAGTAAATAAATAAAAAAAATAATGTAAATTGAGAATCTTTTTCATTGAGAATAAGATATTATATTTCTGTGTAGCTTGATTTTAGGGTGAAAACATATTTATTGTAAAAAATGCAAAAATATTATATTTTTATATATTTGTACAATATATAAACCCCCCCCCCCCCCCCCCCCAAGATTCACCCAAATAACCTCAATAGAATATACACACAAATCCATAGACCTACAATACATTTGAAAATCTGAACATTTTTGACTTTGTACAGAAATTGCCAGGCAAGGACCAAAGCAGGTTAAGAATCTGCTACTATGAAAATCAGACTGAGATCATCGAAGAGGGCAGTGATTATGCCGGGAGGATCCAAGTCAGTCACTCTCATGACGCTCAGAGTGCTGTCGGAAGCGCCGTTCTGACCATTGACAAGGTGGAACTGAGTGACCAGAGGGAGTTCATCTGCATGGTGCACAATGTATTAAAAGAGAGTGGTGAAGGACACACTCGTCTCCAAGTATTCAGTAAGACAAAACAGGCTTGTCCCTTGTAGAAGAGCCTGGCCAGGCTGAGGAATCACCATCATATGCTGCTTGACCTGTTTTCACCTTTATCCGCTCTCTCTTTTAGACTCGCCATCTCTGCCTGTGATTGAACCTACACACACAGGGATTTCTGTGACTGATGAGGAGCCATCAAAGGTAGAGCTCAACAAAACCACTTGTTTTTGAACGTTTTCATGAACTTTACATAATTATGGTATTTTAACTCAGGTTGCAAATTGTAAAGTTGACAACGGGTATCCTAGACCCAACATCACATGGTACAAGGACAGATTTCCTCTCCAACCCTCAGATGGTGGTAAATACAGGGTCATTCAGTCAACATTTTACAAAACAAAATGTGATTTTATATGGCAATGACAAAACCCATATGCATCCCCTTTAGAGATAGAGATCAAGGAGTCAGTGACAGTCAAAACCAGTGGCCTGGTCGCAGTTGAGAGTCAGCTTTTCATGAAGGTCATAAGGGAAGATGAAGATGCTGTTTTCTACTGTGAGGTCCAATACTTTGTCCCTGGTGCATCTAAAATGGCAGAGTCCCAACCAATCAATATCACAGTTTTTTGTAAGTCAACATCTTTTCAGCCTATAATAACTTTAAAGAGAGATGAAATATGATGAAATAGTCATCATTTACTCATTCTCATGTCATTCTAAACCTGTATTTTTTTCTCCTGTGGATTTACAACATAATTATCATTTATTTGTGGACAGTGCTCTGTGCTGCCATCTATTAAATCTACCAAGCACAATGCACAGTGTCTTACTATTTCATTTAATCATTTCAGACCCTACAACAGAGGTAACACTCTCCATAAATCCACCCGACAGGCTTATAAAAGAAGGCGACAACGTGGAGATCCATTGTGAGGGAAATGGAAATCCTCAGCCCTTTTTAAGTTTAAGTTTCAAAAATGAAGAGGTAATATTTAATCAAGATGTAATCATACATGTTATGTCTGCCTAACTGAAAACATGAAGTGTACGAACTTCAGCTAACATTCTAGCAAGGCTCTCTTAGGGTTATGAACAAATATTCTTCCAATGACTTTAATAAAATGTTTGTTCAAAGTTATCAGGTCTTTAATCATGTTCTCAAAACGTTATTTATGCATTGTTTATTGATTTTTTTTCTAAAATGTTTTAGTTGGACGTTCGTCTAACGGTTTTAAATGTTACTACTTGTTCAAAAAAGGATTTTGTAAGTGTTCAGACAGAGAACATTCAGAAATGTTTTCATAATTTAATGGGAACGTTAGCATATTTTTGTTAGCTTGGATATTATCAGAATACCTGAATGAAATGCTGAAACATGCATTTTCTGTAAAGCTGCTTTGAAACTAAATCTATTGTGAAAAGTGCCATACAAATGAACTTAAATGTCAGCTGAAATCTCTCAACCATTTGAAAATATTCATTTGATCACCTGCAGTTCTGGAGTACATTGCTGTTTTAATTATTTTCAGATTGTGGGTGAAGATAATGGAATACGGATTCTGGAAAACGTCACGCGATCAGACAGTGGGACGTATGAGTGCTCATCATTTGACTTTGACACAGGCAGTGACGCTGAGGGCTCCATCAATATCAAAGTACACTGTAAGAGCACGTTCCTCAGCAGTTCCTGCGCTGTGGTAGATTTTGCTGAGATTATGTCTCTCCATGGTGAGAACACACTTTTTTTCTTCTTCTTTTTTAGATCTGGATCATATTGTGGTGACACCAGAGGAGACAGTTCTGGACCAGATGCAAGATCTCACCTTAACCTGCAATGCCTTGTCTTCTTTACCCACATACACAACATGGACTAAGGTACAACGATAATTTGGACTAAAAAACAATCACATAAATGATCATCCTATTTTAGGATGCTGAAAATACACTACCGTTCAAACATTTGGAGTCCGTAAGATTTTTTTTATTTTGTTTTTGTTTAAAGAAGTCTCTAATACTTTCCAAAGCTACATGCTACATTTATTTTATCAAAAATAGTAATATTGTGAAATACTATTACAATTTAAAAAAAAAAAAAAACTTTTTCTATTTAAATGTTTTTAAATGTCATTTACGGTCTTCGTATGTTATGATCCTTCAGAAATCATTCGAATATGCTGATTTTTTTGCTCAAGAAACAGTTGTGCTACTTAATGTTTTTGAAGAAACCGTGATACATTGTTTCTTTGATGAATAAATGAGAACAGCTCAAAAGAACAGCATTTATTATAAAATATAATTATTTTGTAACAACATAAAATAATTTACTATCACTTTTAAACAATTTATTGCATCCTTGAATAAAAGTAATAATTTATTTAAAAATTTTTTTTTTTTAATTACCGACCCCAAATTTTTAGAAGTGTAGACTACTAACATCATTACACATAGACCCAAATCAAGAGTTTCAAAACCCAGACTTTAATAATAAGACTTAAATATAAAAGAAGACAACGTTTATGTGTTTTCCAAAGATCTCAAGACCAAGACACACGATCAAAACTACAACATAAATAATATCCAGCATGAATCCAATAAATCTTTTTGATAAACAGTGCTCTTGAAATGCTCAAGTTTGTAATAAACAAATCTATTTGACGGTGTATTTCAATCCAGGATGGCTCGTCAGAAGTGGTAGAGAGGCATGTTTTGGAGATACACAATGCCTCCTATGACACCGCTGGGGTGTATACATGTGAAGTGATGGTCCCTTCCCTGCCTGAGCTACGAGAACAGAAGTCTGTGCAAATCAGTGTGCGAGGTGGGTTTGTGTGTGGATCAGGTTTTGCTTAATAACCCTAAACTTTTGCACATACAAGGATAGTAAAATTAGCCTAAAACCTAAAATCAACTTTGGATTAATAAACATACTATGTCTTCATGAAAGTCTACACATTCAGGAACATTTCTTTCAGGGGTTGGGGATAGAAAATTTCATTAGCTCAGTGTAATCAATGTTACATCAATGTTACAGAAGAACAATCAAAAACCAAAAATGTTTGCTTTCATGGCTAAAAATGTCTAAAACCTTCTTTAGGAAAGCCTAAGATAGAAGTGGGTTCGACCAATAATGCGGACCGTCCTGTTAACCTGACCTGCCATGCAGAAGGATACCCAATCCCCAATATCACCTGGACCCTCACTGACCGATGGGTATCCTTACATCATCACTCTGTTTCGGACCAATCAGGGACAATTCCAAACGTCTTTTGCTAGTAACTCATCAGAATTTAAGGGTAGTTTCAATGTAAGCTTCATTGTAATTTTATTGTGCAGTTGTGAGTAAAAACATGCTTAATCAGTTTCATAGATTGTTTTAAATGGATATTACCTTGACAGTATATGTGTATATAGACTGGCAAGCCTGTCCCTGTGCTGAATGTGGAGACCCAGAGTACAGACACTGGTGTTCTCAGCATGATCTCTGTCAAGGCCACGTCTGCACTCACAGCCAACTGCAGAGCCGACAATGAGATCGGGACAGACGATGGTTCTCTCAGCATTGACGCAAGTGAGTTTTTGTTTTCGGCATATATGATTTCCTCTGTTTATGAATACTGTTAACACATTTGAAAAAACTAGATTAATCTTTGTCACATATTTACTCTAGTTCATGCAGTCAGTATCATGGACAAACAATATTCTTTTTACTGAATTGAAATGTTAAAAAATATATCTATACACTAAAACAGTGATTTTGGCCCATATGTGAACCCACTCTAAACGATCTCAGACCCATTTAAAGCGAGCCAAACCGAGTCTGAGAATGGTTCTTTTTCATCTTATGGTATGGTTCGCTAAAAACACACAAACCGCTCTGGGCTCACTGTATTCCAAACTGGAAACACCCTTAAGTGTCGGTACATTCAAAATAAAATGCTTCTATTTTAATATACATATTTTAAAATGTAATTTATTCCTGTGATCAAAGCTGAATTTTCAGCATCATACTCCAGTCTTCAGTGTCACATGATCTTTCAGAAATCATTCTAATATGCTGATTTGCTGCTCAAAAAACATTTATTATGATCATTGTTGAAAACTGTCATGCTGCTTAATTTTGTTTTAGTTGAAACCGTGATAATCCCCCCCCCAGGATTCTTTGATGAATAATCTTTGATGAAATTTATTTGAAATAGAAAACTTTTGTAACGTCGTCATGTCTTTAATGTGACTTTTGAACAGAACGTGTCCTCGCTGAATAAAATGATTAATTTCTTTAAAAAAAGAAAATAATTTTGTTAATGCAATGCTATTGCTATTGCATTAACTATACTAAGTGTTTGCACTCTTGATCATTATATCATTTATATTTTAATTCATGTGATTTTAACTTTAATTTGCTATGAAAATTATTAGTTCACTGTTGGTTCATATTGGTTGTAAGGTTAAGGATGTATTAGATTATAAAACTGATTAGTTTATAATTGAACAAATCAAGACAAAAAAACATGTATTGCACAGAAAAAAGTACACAATTTATTTAAAATGATTGTACATTTTAGGTTAAGAGTTAAATTATGCTAACTAATACAACCTTATTCATACCATCTTTCTTTTGTAGTTGCACGTGTGACAACGACAACCCAAGCCATCAGCCCTAAAGGTATGTTTCTGAATCTTTCACTCGAGAAAACTTTGAGATACTTGTAAATTCTACATCTACTTCTATCAATGCAGCGAGTCACTGTATTTAGACTGTAACAAAACACACACACTTGAGAATTGATGACAAAATGCAGTATATGTGTGCTGTATAAACAGTCATCTGAGAGGGCAGCTAATGTGGTATGTATTTATTTATTATTTACTAATGTGGAGGTGAGTTTGAACACAGAGCAGTTTTACTGTAACAGAACAAGGTGGTTGATGGTGAAAATGCTCTCATGTGGACAAAGACAGGCTTTGCATCAGGCCTGGCTGACTGCCTGTGACCTCATGGGCCCAGAGCGTTTGGCATCAGGGCAAATGAGGCGAAGCAGCTACTCTTAATTCGGGATATCAGCTGACATTCGCGTTCCTTATTATGGCGGTCCTCAGAGCCCTTATCTCTGTGACTGTTTATGCCTGTAGTCAGGACAATAAACAGCTATTACAGCAAAATGAGCCTCTCTTAATGTCTGCGGTTGCTTCTAGCATCATGTTCAATGCAACACAAGAGGTTAATAGCAATAATGTGTCAGTCAAAATATAGAAGTAGCTGTATATCATGAATGTAGACCATAATTAAATGATTGACTATTAAAAAAATATTCATTTTAAAATGTAATTAAGATATTATTTGGAAAATGTCCAAAATATTACATATTTTTACACAGAATTATTAAATAATATACTTTTATTTTTAATTGTAATAAATCCTAAAGAAAATAAATGAAATATTTGGAAAATTCTATTATTTATAAATTTTAAATTAAATAATATGATGATATATATATATATATATATATATATATATATATATATACACTGTATATATCAAATAATATAAATAATATAATATTGAAAATAATATTAGGGAAATTGGGCTTTAGTAAGATAAAAAATATTGTTTATATATATATATATATATATATATATATTAATACAACTTTTTTCTACCCAAAAACTAAGACCATTAGCAACCCCTGAGCTCCCTAGATGACAGTTTATGACAGTTTAAACCCCACTGGTCTACCCTTAACAAGGAGAGCAGAGAAAAGACACTAAAAACTACATGTTATACCAGTAACTTCATCTAAGGGTCCAGGACAGCCCCCATGGTCTAAATTTAATAAAACTGATGTATTAATATACTGCCTATGTGGTAACTCAATCCATTTGCGTCTTAGCAACAGGATTTACCATTACACCAAAGCAGCCGGAGAAAGGTTTGTACTACAGCTTTGTCATGTATCCAACGCCAGCCTAACCGATCACCACCAGTCATCCCACAAACACCCTTCCACGCTGTGTGAAAGCAATCATTTATTATGCTAATCTTCACTTTAACCAAACTGGTCTAAATAATAAGCGATGGCCATCGATGTGTTTTTTAGGTAGGATGGTGGCACTTACTCTTCTAGAAAGAATGAATGAATGAATGAATGAATAAATGCTTTGCTCGTATCATCGCTCATACAATGACACACATCATCACTGCTTTTTTTTACCCAGCACATTCAGATCACTTTACTCGCAACCTTTTTTGAAATGAAGTGTTTCAGCAAAGACTTTGTATATTTCAGTTAGACATGTAGGAAATGTTCACCCAAAGTATGTCTTTCAGGCTTTACTTTAGGTGTGAGCTTTTCCTCTTATCTGTCAAGGCACTGACTTCCATTCCCCTCTGACCCGCAGGTGGCAGTGGAGTAGTCATCGCAGTCATCATCATCTGCCTGCTCCTCATAGCCATACTGGGCAGTGTGCTCTACTTCCTCTACAAGAAAGGAAGGCTGCCCTGCGGACGCTCGGGAAAGCAGGATTTGTATGTGCATTTATTAAGCAATTTATAATAAGTATGTTTGAATTTGTAGGTTCGGTTTCAGTGTTATTAAAGGAGCTGTATGTAAGATTGTGGCCAACACTGCTACTGCATTCACTTTCAAATTACTGTAGAGCCCTCCCCCCCTGACTCGAGGTTGCCAGATATGCTACAGGATCCAACATTTTTTTTTTTATCCGACATGTTTGTATCTGCAGCTGTGGTACCTAGAACAAAGCTGGCAACCCTAACCCTAACACTACTGACTTCGTGATTGGTAGATAGGTGGAGGGTGGAGCTTCAGACCAAAACACAACATGACAACATCAACATCAGTTGAGGGCTGCAACTTCACTTTTTAAATGACAATATCCTGGCTGGACTACTGTTGTCTGTGATATAAGTATAGTGATATAGTGATATAACCATTTTATGATTATTTGAAATAAATTTCTTACATACAGCTCATTTACAGTAACTTTTAAAATTGTTCTAAGCTGAAATAAAATATATGCAATAACTTAAAAAAACGTACATTTATAAAGCTAAATAGTCTAAAAGTAGTCACCTTAATATCCTAATATCCAATGTTTAGTCCACATTAAATGTGTCTGGAGAGATGTGCATTTAAGTATTTTCCAAAACCATCATGACAGAAAACATGAATGCCTCAGCTGTTGCTTTGCTTTCCCCAGCACGAAGGAAAAGGCCAGCAAGGATGATATTGTGATGGAGATGAAGAGCGGTAAATCTGAAGAGGCGGTGCTTCTACAGGGAGTCAACGGAGACAAAAAGTCACCTACTGAATAGGTCATTGCTTCTGAGCAAAGATTCACATTACTAGCTCTTTTACAGCCCTCTGAACTCAAATCCAATCTTAAACAAGACCAAAGATTTGACGAAAACCTAAAAAACTTTCCTTTCAATTAGAGTCAAAGACTGAAAACTACATGGACAAGTGGAGAGACGCTATAGCAGCCTCTGTCCTACAGCGCTCCGTCTCAGGGTCAATCCCAACATGAGTGCGCAAAGACCTCACAACATGCCCACATTTTCCCCTCTACTTGAATTCCTATTCAATTCTACTTTTTTTGCCCATGTTTTGTATTTGACCTGCTAATCTGATTCAAAATACAGCAAGCCGATCCAAAAGAGCACCAAGTTCATCATGAACGACCACACTCCCGTATTTACAAATTGTACATATATATATATGAAATACTGTATATATTTAGCTATTTAAAATGCCTGAAACAACATTTGAAAGATTGTGCCTGGATATCGCTTTTTGATAATGCAAGTCCCATTGTTTAGGGGCATTTGACAAGTGCCGAAGAATAGTTTTTTGCTATGTGCTGTCATTGTGTTTTGAACCTTCTCTCACCTCTGCCACATCATAGTCCATGCACTGAAACTCTAAGATCCGTCTTCATCACTGTAAACATTTTTCTGGATCAGCGCTGAAAAAATGCCCAATGATGAAGCTTGAGGGCAATTTCTGGACAGATACATTTGTCAGGGAAAGTCTGACATGTTTGACCTTTTTCTAAATATGTAAGCAAAATGTTGGGTCCATGACATGCCAATGTTTTTTATTATTATTAGCTATATCAAATTAAGTTCCTTATGTTCACTGAGAGAGCTGAGTGAGTTACATTCATGCCAAAGTTTGAGCTAAAAATGTCCCTATGTCCTGAGAGAAATGGAAGTTCCCTGCAGAGTTCAGCTGTATTTTGCCATTATTTTTTACTGCAGTGACCTGCTGTCCTCATCTTGCACTGATTGTAAATATTAAAAGAATTGCATAACCAACTTTCCCATTTTTTTATTTTAGAGGGAATATTAAAATGCATGTGGAAGTCTTCATTAATTTAACACATGGAGGGACAGTAGAAAAAAAAATATTTTTATACTTATTTTGGTCACAAATTAGTATTATATTATTAATTTTTTTTCTGATTCATATTTTGAAGTTGTACCAAGGCAGGTATCTTAAGAAGTATGTACCCTGTACTGTAAGCAAAGCAGGCCCACAGGGTCTGTACAACAGTTATGATTCGTTTCATTTCCTCTGGTATGCTACTGTTGTTGTTTGTCAGTAGTATTTTTGTTAATACTTGTTTTTGAATTTTCCTTAAATTTCTATTAAAATGGCTGGTTTACTTGAGCCTTAATTTTGTCCCCGTTTGGCCTATTTATTTTTGTTAATCAAAAACAGCCCAGACAGCAACAGTGTTGGCCCAGATCCGGTACGTGTGGATTTCACAACACTATGTTGCTGACTGGGAGCTGTTTTATATGTCTACAATAGTTGAAAAAGTATGATGAAAACCATAATTTAAGCTTTTTATGTGAAATATTTCCAGCTCAATGTATCCATAGTAAAACAATATACACTGGGTAGGGGCATGTCAACAATGAAAAATTACCAAATCTTAAAGTGATAGAGACCAACCATATGAAAAGTGAAATTGAAGACACAGGGAAAAATCAATAATATCAATTATTAAAACAATATTGAAAGAAAATAAAATGTCTGGAATACTTGATAAACACGATTATTACTAACTTTTGAATAACTGGCAAAGTGCTGAGATTATTTTATACCTCCACCCCTCCCTATATTCACTTAACTGTGACAAAACTAATTTAACCTTCATCTTTTAAAACTGAGTTTAATATTTGATGATCCAAAAAACAATTCTCATTAGAGTGATAGTTCAACCAAAACTGAATTGTTGTCATCATTTACTCACCCTCATGTTGTTCCAAACCTGCTGAGTTTCTTTCTTCTGCTGAACACAAAAGATGATATTTAAAAAAATGTTGGTAAGGCAGCTGAGGAAAGTCTGACATGATTGACCTTTTTCTAAATACCCAAGCAAATATTATTAAGTATTATTATTAGCTATATCAAATGAAGTTCCTTATGTTCACTGTGAGAACTGAGTGAGTTACATTCATGCCAAAGTGTGGCTTCTATAGTTTTTGTTTTTCTAATATGGAAGTCAATGGCTACTGTCAGCTGTCTGGTAATCAACATTTTTCAAATTATTTTCTTTTGTGTTGTTCAACAGAAGAAAGAAACTCATACAGGTTTGGAACAACGTGAAAATGAGTAAATTATGACAACATTTTAATTTTTTGGGTTAACAATCCTTTTAAATGTGCAATGTGTAAACATTTAAGTATATATAAACAGAAATGCAATATGACACCCATATGACACCTATGTTTTCACTGGTGTATAAAGAATAAACCATAATGTTTTTATTAGAAAGATACATTTATATCTACATAACCGCGGGCACCCCCTTCGACATATTGTATGGACTGAAATATGTGCTACCAGAAACTGAATTTGAACCATTTAAATTTGAATTTGAATGGCTAAACTTGAATAATTGGATTGAAAAACTGAATTTAAATCACATAATTTGAAATTGTATTGTTTAATTAAAATTGAATTTATTCAAAAACTGAATCTGAATTGTAAAATTTGAAATTGAAGTCCAAAAATATTTGGTCCTCACTGAAAATTAAACTATATATCTTCACATTCACTTCTCATAATTCAGATGCAGTTCTCAAATTCAATTTCAAGTTACTGAGACAGACATCCGGGTAGTTGGAGAATGGGCCAATCAGCACCAATGTTTTGGAGCACAGTATGTTACCCGCCATGATGAAACAAAGTCTGTCTGACAAACGTATAAGAAGTTCTGACTTGCCGACTGGCGTGACCAGTGACCAACACCATGGATTCGGCTGGGACAAATACGGTAATGACATTTTTTTTTTTTACGATTTAACGATCTTTTCTTTAACTGTTGTTAATGTTATTAGCTATTTTGTAGAAACGGGGGAAATTAAATCTTTCTCCCGACGTTGCTAACACAGTAGCTATAATCCCACGTCTTTATGGTAGCCTACTAGCTCTGGTAACAACATTTTTGCCTGGTGTTTATTATTTTTAAGCGTTTGCCTCTGCCTCCGGTGAAAATGTTGTTGCAAACGTAGCTAGTATTATTAGCCGCCGCCAAGTAACGTTAGACTGGTCATGTCTTCAGTGTGATTTTTTCCCCGATAACTTCTCCTCGTGGTTGTCATTGTCAAAACAGTAACTCTTCTTCAACAATTTCACAAAGGACCTTTAAACACCATCTTACCTCAAAGGATAAAAAATCGTGCATTAATAATGATAATCAATCAAAATCCTAGATTTGACTAATTTTACAAAAATTGCTACCAAACTGCTAGAAACATTTTGCTCAATTTTTTCTTTTCTTGTGGTATAAATCGCCATTTTTTCTAGAGCGTCTAGAGAGAGAGAGAGAGAGAGAGAGTAGTAAGCGTGTAAGTTATGTGTCGCTGTGTTTGGCAGGCAATAACTGTACACCATAGCACTAGCCCTATTCATTTGAATTGATAAGTTAGCTAATTCCGCTTGACTAGAACACAAAAATAGCACATTTACACTTCGAAAGAAAGCTGGATGTTTTGTTTAATTAAATTCAATAGTGCATAATGGTATTGTGGTCTATAAATATAGTGCCTATTTTTAGTAATATTTGTTTTATATTGATATAGCTAGCCATTTACTTGAATAACTTTTTGCAATATATTTTCTTGGGAATATGGAAAACATCCCACTTTGTAATTTTTGATTTGGTAGTATTAAGTTATATATTGTTTTATGGGTTATTAAGTTGATGTATTGTATAGCTTTTCCAACCTACTGCCGAATTTGTATACTTTTGCCAGGGAGACAACCCAGAAGTATACAGTATAGTAGTCAATTCAGCAAGACACCTCCTAAATTTGCTCACAAATGCAACACCTTCCCCTGCTACCCCTGTTGGGCCCAGTGCCCAACATCAAATTAGCCCAGAGACTCCAAGGTGTTGTCTAGTTTCGCAACAAATACGATAACACATACCCAGATTAACATGTACAAAATAATGTGATGCGTCTCCTGAACACGGCATGTCATTCTAGCTGACAGGGAAGGAGTCAGGAAAGAGGGAGAGATGGCCGACCCAGTGTCCACACAGAAATGACTAGGTTCTTCAAGGTATTTGGTTTCTTTGTCAGACTGACTCGTCCCTTACATTCATCAATTTAAATTCTCAAACTATAGCTAGTGAAATGTGTGTATTTGTATTGTGTAATGTCAAATTAATAAATTATCATTACATGTCTTTTCCTGCCCTTTTTGGAGCCAGGGGAAAGCGCCGGCGCGTTCAAGGGCCTTCCAACCACTCCACACCAGTCAAAGAGATAGCCCACCCGCCCATTAAGTTTCATTTCAGCTAAACATTTACTCAAAAACTCCAAACAGGTACAAGGAAAACTGGCAGAAGATTACACACACTAGCACAGACTGAAACAGAGAGAACTAAATACAGATACAAAGTGAACACTAACAAGGTGACGACAGGTAACACAGATGATCAGGATGATGAACAGGTGGATGATTGAGGGAGTGAATTCAGGTGTGGAGACAAGAGGATGCTGGGAAGTGTAGTGAAGATGACGAAGACAGAATTGTGCAGACGAAGACTGTCCCTGCGTCCCAATTCGCATACTATCCGTCCTAAATAGTATTCGAAAATAGAATTAGTACGTCCCAAATCGTAGTATGTTGAAAAGAGTGTTTCAAAGATACCCGGATGGTCTACTTTTTCTGGTCAGAATCCGAAGTGTAGATCGATGCACACTCTAACGGCTGATATTGCCCACAAACCATTGCCATTGGACGAGGATACGGTTAGAACTACAAACACGAGTAAAAAGTGTTAAAAAACTACAGACACGTAGTCGATACGGAGGATGCGCGAGTCCCCGCGGTTGTGTAGAGAGGTTTAGATAAAGAGCTTTGAGTGATTAATTATCAGTATCTAACCTGACGAAATTGAATTTATTCAATGTTGTCCACATTATATTGCATTTGCAGCAGCATTGTGAACTTTTGTAAAGACACGTTTAGCCATTACGTTTTAAATCCATCATTATATTCAATTTGCAAACACGAGGAGAGCATGAAAGACCCACAACTGGCAGATGAACGTGCTCTCAGAAACGGTAGGAAATCAAATTAGATAGAATGGAGGATTTTAACTGTGACAAGATGATTGACAGGGCAGTTTACGGTGACAGGATGCATGCAGCACGCGACAGAGCTGTCCGTTAAAGATGACGTGATAGTATGTCCCAAAGCTTGCCTACTCTTTAGCAACACACTCAAAAGTATGTACTTTTTCCTCACAAAAAGAGTACATACTTTTAGGGCGTAGTATAAGTAAGTGAATTGGGATGCAGCATGTGACAGAACGCCCCCCTTTACAAAGGCACGGCCTGCTCCGCCCTGGCCACGCCCTCAGCTTGCTCCACCACGCCCTCGTCCCGCTCTGGTTTCAAGAAGATTGGAGAAACTTATTTTTTCGGACAAAAAAACAAACAAACAAAAAAAAAAAAAACGACAGGGGTACCACTGTGCAAAAATAGAGGCTCTAGATCCTTCCTGAGCTGAGATATTGAGATATTTATAATGGCATTAATGGTGCATGGGATCTCAATATCTCAGCTCAGGAAGGGTTTAGAGCCTCCATTTTTGCACTCAGGTCTAAGTCTCACAGCCCTCTATCAGAATCCAGAGTTTTGAGAAGATTGGAGAAACTTAATTTCTCGCCCCGAAAAAAACGACAGGGGTACCCCTGTCGTTTTTTTTTTCTTTTTGGGTCGAAATTTTGAGTTTCTCTGATCTTCTTGAAACTCTGGATTCTGATAGAATCCACTGATAGAGCTGAGCTGAGATATTAGATATTCATAATGGCATTATTGGTGCGTGGGATCTCAATATCTCAGCTCAGGAAGCGTCTAGACTAGAGCCTCCATTTTTGCACTCAGGTCTAAGTCTCATGGCCCTCTATCAGAATCCAGAGTTTTGAGAAGATTGGAGAAATTTAATTTCTCACCCCTAAAAAAAAAACAAAACGAAAGGGGTACCACCGTCGGTTTTTTTTTTGGGTCGAAATTTTTAGTTTCTCTAATCTTCTTGAAACTCTGGATTCTGATAGAGGATCCCTTCCTGGATCCCTTCCTGAGCTGAGATATTGAGATCCCATGCACCATTAATGCCATTATAAATATCTCAGCTCTGGAAGGGTCTAGAGCCTCCATTTTTGCACTCAGGTCTAAGTCTTATGGCCCTCTATCAGAATCCAGAGTTTTGAGAAGATTGGAGAAACTTAATCCCCCACCCCCCCCCCCCCCCCCCCAAAAAAAAAACAAACCGAAAGGGGTACCACTGTCGTTTTTTTTTTTTCAGGTCGAAATTTTTAGTTTCTCTGATCTTCTTGAAACTCTGGATTCTGATAGAGGGCCATGAGACTTAGACCTGAGTGCAAAAATGGAGGCTCTAGACCCTTCCAGAGCTGAGATATTGAGATCACATTTAGCATTTATGCCATTATAAATATCTCAATTCGCCTTATTCACCTGGCTGCCATTTTGAAAACGTAACGCCGCTACACTCACCCCGAAGTATGCATGCGAAGCAGCAGCACCAGCAATGAAAACTCACAGTGTGGACCACCAATCTTTCCTGCCTGCCCGAATTAACGATGCAAAATGTGAAGCAGTGAGCCAGTGACTGCAACATCCCCCGGGCTGTGTTAATTAAAGGAACACTCTGACTTTTTGGGACTTTAGCCTATTCACCTTACCCCCCAGAGTTAGATAAGTCCATACATACCTTTTTCATCTCTGTGCGTGCTATAAGTCTGTTTGACGCACCCACCACTAGCCTAGCTTAGCACAAAGACTGGATGTGAATGGTTGCAGCTTTCATACTAATCCAAATGAGTGGCAAAATAACGCAAACGTTTTCCTATTTACATGTTGTGATTTGTATAGTCACATAATGTACAAATAACAAAGTCAAATGAGACACAGACATCTTTTAACCGTATAAAACCTGGGAACTATTCTCTGAAGGCGAAGCACTGCTACGTTGACGGAGTAATAACCGCATCACCTGAGACACGCCGTGGTGAGGAGCGGAGAGTTCGCTCGGTGTTTGGGTAACAGAGTCAGCAATTTATAAATAGTAAAAGCGTAGTTTAGAGTCATGGGTTTTCGCTCTATTGTAAATAGCTGCGACTGTAAACAGGGGAGGTAACCATGTTTCACAGAATTCCAACTAAAAACGCTGACTGGATGAAGAAATGGCTAACTTACTCTGGATATTTATCCAAACACACCTATAGATTATCAAGGGACATTATGTTTGCTCGGTACATTTCAATGAGGACGACTATTTTGAAAAAATGGAATTTGCCACACGGACCATAATGTGCTGAAGGATACGGCCATCCCATCGATAGCACAGACAGGACAAGTGGATCACCTGCGGCTGAGGTAAGTGTTCCGTTATGTTTTTAGATGACCTACTGTAACAGTGCCATTAGCCAGATCTAATGTAACGTTAGTGACACTATTATATGATTAGGGTATGAATATGTTTTTATCTTGATGCGGTGCGGACGCGCTTGGAAAAAAAAAGAGCGCGTTCACCGCGTTGAACTTGCACCCTGCGCGCGGCGCGCCTAGTAGCCTAAATTTGAAATATGGAAATAACGAACTTGAGCGTGCAAAAGGGTACGATAGGCTGTGAGTTCATTGTGCAAAAACAATTTGTGCTATTACTTTCCCCTTATTCTATCCTATAGTAATGCAATTTTACTGTATAATATATACTGTTGAATACATTTGGTTCAGCTAATAAATTGCATTTAAAATATATTGATTCCTGTAATAATAATCATTTATTCATGTGATATTTATAAATCTGGGTGCGTTTTTGGTTGGAAATCAATGAAACATGGTACTGTTTACCTGGTCTCCCCTGTTTATTGTCACAGCTCATACAATGAAGCAAACACCCATGATAAACTATGCTTTTCTAACGTTAGTAATTGCTGACTCTTTACTCCAACACTGAGCGAACACTCTGCTCCTCGTCACGGTGCGTCTCAGGTGATGGTTATCACTCTGCCCAAGTAGCAGTGCTTCGCCTTCAGAAAATATAGTATTTATACGGTCAAAAGATGTCTGTGTCTCATATGGCCTTGATATTTGCACACTCTGTGACTATACAAACCACAACATGTAAATAGGAAAATGTTTGCGTTATTTTGTCACTCATTTGGATTAGTATGAAAGCTGCAACCATTCACATCCAGTCTTTGTGCTAAGCTAGGCTAGCGGTGGGTGCGTCAAACAGACTTATAGCACGCACGGAGATGAAAAAGGTATGTATGGACTTATCTAACTCTGGGGGGTAAGGTGAATAGGCTAAAGTCCCAAAAAGTCGGAGTGTTCCTTTAAGGGATACAGTACCTGGATCGGAGGTTTTTTCCACTACATTGAACGTAAGAATGGATGTATCTTTACCTCAGTTTCTGCGAGCTTGTAGCAGCTAGAGGTGGTAGCTGTAATATGGAGTTGTTGACTGTGTAAGTTACTATGGTAGATTAGAATCTATACAAATCTGTAACCATCATTATTGTTCTTCTTTATGAATCTATACAAATATGTGAACTTTTTGACCATAGCACCTTATACTAGTCAGTATGTAACAGGATCAGTCTCTGTCAGACCTTATAATCACTTCTCATGCTCTTTTACTTTTAGACCCCGTTTACACCTGGTATTAAAATGCGATCTGTATCCAGATAAGTTATCCGGATAATAAAAAACGCATGTTAATGCAAGGTGTAAACGCGTTGTGATCGGATCGTGATCGGATCTGCCTGACCACATCTGGAGGTAGTCTGGCTCGCATTGTGTCCGGATCTTTACTAGGTGTAAACGCAATCTGGTTGTTGAAACCACATATGTATATTTTACTCCTTCCAAAAATGCTAAAAAATAAACGAGTGAGAGCGTGTTATATAGGCTATGTCATGTTATAGCCTCAGATGCGACACGCATCACCGCAGATGAGCAGCTGAGCGTCTATTCAACGTGCAAACATCGCAAATAAAAGTGAAAGTTAGTCACAGACGCAGTTAACACATCTTCAAGTAAAGAAACGAAATTATCTTACCAGGCCTGTTGCCACTCTCTCTTATTGATGTCTCGGATTTGGAAATTAGCTGATGATCAATAAAATGCCGCTCAGATCTGTTTTTGGTGGCGTGCAATTGCAATCCAATAAATCTGCATATAACGCAGGAGGTGAAGATCGGATTTATATCCGTTTTGCAAAAACACATTTATGTGGCCAGGTGTAAATGGAATCAGTACTTATTATCCGGATAACTTATCTGGATACAGATCGCATTTTAATACCAGGTGTAAACGGGGTCTTACATACCTGTGAGTGATTTGATTGTTTTACATGTATGTGTGTGTATGTATATGCTACTGGATGTGTCTCAATCTAAACAATAAAGTACAATTGTATTACACATGGATGATTTCCTTCATAATTGTATAATTTAATATACCGGAACCAGAACAGGTATAAGAAAACATAAAAAAA